CATGCCACACCAGCAGCAAAAGGCTTTAACTTCGATGATGGTTATGAAGCAGAAAGCACAATGAACCCAGCAGATCGACGCCAGAGGCAGCTGAAGCAAGAGGTGATGCGCACAGCTCAGTCTGCCATGGACAGCAGCGGTCGTTCCCTCTGCCTCATCTATGATTCTGAGAAAATTGGGATGGAGACAGCAGAGGTTAGAGAATTTTACATGACAAAAATGCTCACAAAGGAACTATAGTAAACTCTACAATTAACAACACCTTTTGGGGAATTTGGGAAAGAAGTATAATATAAAAGTTATTAAATCAACACTTGTATAGCGATTCAAATTTTCTGTATGTACAGTACCCCACAAAAGTGAGTACACCCCTCACATTTTTGTAAATATTTGATTATATCTTTTCATGTGACAACACTGAAGAAATGACACTTTGCTACAATGTAAAGTAGTGAGTGTACAGCTTGTGTAACAGTGTAAATTTACTGTCCCCTCAAAATAACTCAACACACAGCCATTAATGTCTAAACCGCTGGCAACAAAAGTGAGTACACCCCTAAGTGAAAATGTCCGAATTAGGCCCAATTAGCCATTTTCCCTCCCCGGTGTCATGTGACATGTTAGTGTTACAAGGTTTCAGGTGTGAGTGGGGAGCAGGTGTGTTAAATTTGGTGTCATCGCTCTCACGCTCCCTCATACTGGTCACTGGAAGTTCAACCTGGCACCTCATGGCAAATAACTCTCTGAGGATCTGAAAAAAATTGTTGCTCTACATAAAGATGGCCTAGGCTATGAGAAGATTGCCAAGACCCTGACACTGAGGTGCAGCACGGTAGCCAAGACCATACAGCGGTTTAACAGGACAGGTTCCACTCAGAACAGACCTCACAATGGTCGACCAAAGAAGTTGAGTACACATGCTCAGCATCATATCCAGAGGTTGTCTTTGGAGAAATAGACATATGAGTGCTGCTAGCATTGCTGCAGAGGTTGAAGGGGTGGGGGGTCAGCCTGTCAGTGCTCAGACCATATGCCACACACTGAATGAAATTGGTCTGCATGGCTGTCGGCCCAGAAGGAAGCCTATTCTAAAGATGATGCACAAGAAAGCCCGCAACCAGTTTGCTGAAGACAAGCAGACTAAGGACATGGATTACTGGAACCATATCCTGTGGTCTGATGAGACAAAGATAAACTTAATTGGTTCAGATGGTGTCAAGCATGTGTGGCGGATACCAGGTGAGTACAAAGACAAGTGTGTCTTGTCTACAGTCAAGCATGGTGGTGGGAGTGTTATGGTCTGGGGCTGCATGAGTGCTTTCGGCACTAGGGAGCTACAGTTCATTGAAGGAACCATGAATGTCAACATGTAATGTGACGTACTGAAGCAGAGCATGATCAGTATTCCAGCATAATAATGACCCCAAACACACCTCTAAGACAACCACTGTCCTGTTAAAGAACCTGAGGGTTTAGGTGATGGACTGGCCAAGCATGTCTTCAGACCTAAACACTATTGAGCATCTGTGGGGCATCCTCAAACGGAAGGTGGAGGTGCTCAAGGTCTCAAACATCCACCAGCTCTGTGGTGTCATCATGGAGGAGTGGAAGAGGACTCCAGTGGCAACCTGTGAAGCTCTGGTGAACAACATGCCCAAGGGGGTTAAGGTAGTGCTGGAATATAATGGTGGCCCCACAAAATATTGACACTTTGGACCTAATAAGGACATTTTCACTTAGGGGTGTACTCACTTTTGTTGGGAGCAGTTTAGACATTAATGGCTGTGTGTTGAGTTATTTTGAGAGGACAGCAAATTTACACTGTTATTCAAGATGTACACTCACTACTTTACATTGTAGCAAATTGTCAATTTCTTCAGTGTTGTCACATTAAAAGATATAATCAAATATCTACAAAAATGTAAGGGGTGTACTCATTTTTGTGAGATACTGTACTTGCTTTTCCTCTAATATAAATAGGTAATTTGTCAAATAGGTCAAGCTGACGGTGTATGTTGATGCTTATATTAAGCATACTGGTACACTTTTCCAAGTTCGGGCAGAAATGAGGAAGCCAGAGGCAGGCTTGGAACAACTCAAAAGGCTCTTTAATTTTTACTTTAGCTTTTCAGATTTAGCTTTAATCACATGCACGCGCACACATGGCTCTCTGCTGGTTGCGCTCTCTCTCTATCTCCCTCATCCTGGCCTCAGCTCACTGCAAACAAACACACACTCATTAATAGAATTCTCTGCAGGTGTGCACTCCTTACCATTCACCTTCTCAGGCTCTGCCCTCCATTCACAAACCGGCACTCGAGCACGCCCCCAGTTCCACACACACAATCAGCAGTTTTAATTCTACCTACTGCTACTAAATTGTAGTATAAATTCATTGTTCTGCTTTGTTACTGAACTACTATGAATATGATTATTGGGGGTCTGTTTTATTATGTAGATAACTGGGTGGAGCTTAGAGTGAAAATGGTATGTGAGTTTGCACTTTGCTTATGTTTACTAAAAATATAAATACACCATTTTTAGAATAAAAATTCTTCAAGCTGTACACTACATGGCCAAAAGTATGTGGACACCTGACTATCACACCCGTACTTGGACATTCCCCAAACTGTTGCCACAACATTGGAAACCCACAGTTGTCTAGAATGTCTTTGTATGCTGTAGCATTAAGATTTCCTTTCATTGAAACTCTATTGGGCCAAACCCAAACCTGTCCCAGCATGACATTGCCCCTGTGCACAAAAAGGATGTCTATAAAGATATGCTTTACCAAGGTTGGTTTGGAAGAACTTAATTGGCCTGCACTCATGCACCCCTAATGCCCCCCCCCCCACATTGAACTTCGGGAATAATTGTAACAACAACTTCATGCCAAGCCTTCTTGTGTCATGGATAATGTGAAGGAGAAGGAATGCAGAAGAAAGGTGCAAGCAAGAGGACTGGTGCTTGATGGATGGGAGGTTGTAGTCTCTGAGGACAGTAAGAGGGTTGCTGTCAGTAGGGAAAAGACTGAAGAGCATTTCTTCAGTGGAAGTCTCCTAAGGCACCAGTAAGGCAGTAGATGACAATGATGAGAAGGTTGATTGGGGAGGTACCAGTAACCGCATGGAATTCGAAGGATGAGGTGTTGAGATACGACAGGGAGAGAGGTTGAAGCACCATCTCTGAGACAACAGCTGACCTGTATCATCACCCCTGACAGCTCCTCATGGAGTGTGATAGAAAGCATAAGCAGAGGACAGAGCAGCTGGTGTAGCTGAGTTCTATGGAGTTATCCAGGTCTCGGTTGTGCCAGAAAGTAAAGAGAGTAATGAGAAGCTAAAGCTGAGATGGTTCAATAAAATTTTATTTGTATAGCGCTTTTTACAACAGACATTGTCTCAAAGCAGCTTTACAGAAATATAAACACGGTATACAGATATTAAAAGTGTGAATTTATCCCAACTGTGCAAGCCACTGAGTGGCGACGATGGCAAGGGAAAACTCCCTAAGATGTTTAAAGGAAGAAACCTTGAGAGGAACCCGACTCAGAAGGGAACCCATCCTCATCTGGGTAACAACAGACAGTGTGAAATAGTACAGTATGGATGTACATGAAGTCTGTATGGCCTTCGGAGCAGCCGTAGTCCCAGTAGTCCCAGTGGAATTGGAGAAGATTTGAGCTCCATCCAGAGGCTGAAATGATCTGGATCTCTAGTATCTCCATAAATTCATGTGTGGCTCGGCAAAAGGAGAGAGGGAGAAAAAAGATTATTATGACTGCGAAGTAGTAAAAATAGAATCTAGTCAGGGTAGGCTTGAGTAAACAAATACGTTTTAAGCCTAGACTTAAACACTGAGACTGTGTCTGAGTCCCGAACACTAATTGGAAGACTGTTCCATAACTGTGGGGCTCTATAAGTGAAGGCTCTTCCCTCTGCTGTAGCCTTCACTATTCGGGGTACCGTCAAATAGCCTGCATCTTTTGATCTAAGTAGGCGTGGCGGATCATATAAAACCAGAAGGTCGCTTAGATATTATGGTGCGAGACCGTTTAGCACTTTATAGGTTAATAAAAGTACGTTATAGTTAATGCGAGATTTTACTGGGAGCCAATACAGTGTGGATAAGATCAGGGTGATATGGTCGTATTTTCTAGTTCTAGTTAGGACTCTAGCAGCAGCATTCTGGACTAACTGGAGCTTATTTATATACCTACTGGAACATCCAGACAGTAAGGCATTACAGTAATCTTATCTAGAGGTGACGAATGCATGAACCAGTATTTCCGCATCATGTAGTGATATGTTTCTTATTTTAGAAATATTTCTGAGATGAAGGAAAGTTATCCTAGTAATATTATTTACATGAGCATCAAATGATAGACTGGAGTCAATAATCACTCCAAGGTCTTTAACTGCTGTACATGATGAAACAGAAAGACCATCCAGAGTAATCATGTGACCAGAATGATTACTTCTAGCTACACGTGGGCCTAATAAAAGTATTTCTGTTTTATCAGAGTTAAGTAAAAGGAAGTCAAGATGGTCAACTTTCTTTACAGCAGACAATTCCAGAGCCCACCTACCACTGCTGTTTGAGACTTGGACAACAGAGGAGGGTAGATGAGGTTACTGGTAGTTTGGCCACAAATAAATAGAATGAGATCATCAAATATATGTTTGGAGTTTCACAAAAACAAATTAAATTCACAAATAAATAAAATGAGATTTGCAAGAAAAAAAAATATTTATGTCATAAACACAACTCTTCCTGGCATTCATTTGTGGATGCTGCATGCATTTGTAGATCTCTTCCTTTGCATTTGGGTATTTTGAAACATTTCTAACATCAAGACATGCACATAAAACCACAAATAGGTGGACTCCACCCACTGTTTACCAATCAATCGTAACACTTTCTTGCTCCAACCAGTCACGCTTTGTTTTATAATCAGGGTGGGAACAGGGTCATATTGCACAGAACTTGCATATTATTTGGGCAGTGGTGGCTTCGGGGTTAAGGCTCTGGTTTCCTGAACCGAAGGTCGGGGGTTCAAGTCCCAGTACTGTCAGGCTGCCACTGTTGGGCCCTTGAGCAAGGCCCTCAACCCTCTTACCCCTTAGTTCCCACAGTATTATGTCCCACAACCCTATATTCCCCACAGCATGCCAACCCTGAGTTCTCGGGCCAAATTTGGCCGCAAAATCAACATTTTAATTTGAACATTTTTAGGCATTGAATCAATTTATAATAACGTATTTGTGTAATATTACTTTGAACATGAAGCAGTTCAGTGTTTTTACTCCACTTAAAGCACAATTCTTATCTAGAGTAATTATGAAAAATGCTCGCTAAAATCCTTATACTCCTTTAGATACAAGCATACAAGCATCAGCGTGGTCGGTGCCTTTGAATAAATGTATTTTAGTGCCAAAATTCAACTTTCTGGTGATAATCAGACCAGCAGGTAGTGTTTTCAGAAATGCACATAAAATTGTCACGCTATGACTCCAAACCCCTGCAGTGTCAGTCACACTAGTTGATGCTGAAGATGAAGACGGATCAGGGTCTGAATCATGAGAGTTTGCGTCACTATCACTTTTGGTTTCGGTTTCAACATCGCCTGAACTTTCACTGCTGTCACTATTTAGAATCCTTGCTCTCGCCTGTGCAACTGTGTATGTTTTCTTTTTTTTTCCCCCACTGTTTTAGACGTACCTGTGTTCACTATTGGTGTAACTTTAGCTGGAACACGATTAGCTTTTCGCTTTGGCATTTTTAGTTAACTTCTTCTGTTACACCAATATTCACACTTGGATCTTCATCGTAATGACGGCGTAATAACGTAATCACGTCATGACGTCATCAACCTTCCCGGTCAAAAAATAATAATTAAATAAGTAAGGAATCATAGCAGAGTAATGCCGGTATTCCAGGGATAACGTTTACACAGTAAAGCCGCTATATCGGCCTTACGGGTATTTGGCATGGATGACCAAGCCGGTATATTGTCCTTACGGGAATAGATAAAAGATGGGCAAGCCGGTTTTTCGGCCTTACGGGGCAAGAGGGTTAAGTTTATATTTGTAACACTCAATTTGTGGATTTTATTTTAAATAAATGAAAAAATGGTACTGAAAAGTTTGTGCCCCCCATCCGATTAATTGAAAAAATAATAGGCCAACTAGTCAATTAAGAAAATAATTTAGTTGCAGCCCTAGTTTACAGTCCATGTTTACAGTTTACAGTCCAGGTTCTGTGTATCTATTATCTTGTGTATTTACTGTGCTGTGTATTTATTGTTTTGCATTTGTCCCCCACAGTTGTGTATTTGCATTTTATGTGGTTTTGTGCCTGCGATGGACTTTCACCTTGTCCAGGGTGTACCCCACCTTGTGCCCAATGCTCTCTGGGATAGTCTCCAGGTTCCCCGTGACTTTGAAAAAGGAGTAAGCGGTAGAAGATGGATGGATGGTTTTGTGTACTTGTCCGTGTTGCATGTCATTTTTACACGTTAAGAAACGTCATTTTGTTCCAATGTATACAAGCTATATAGAGGAATGACAAGAAAAACCCACTTGACTTGACTATAATGATAGTTAATTTATAACTCTTGCTTGTTTTCTTTTAGATGCTGTTACAATGATGCTTTTACATGGTTAGAACAACTCACCTGTCATGATTCCTCCTGATCAGCTATGTTGGAGTGCCTTTATAATATGCTAATTTAGTGCAATATGACTCTCTTCCTGCTCTGAATGTAAACATGATTGGTTGGAGCGAGAATATGCAATGATTGGTCATTGCAATTGCTCAGTGTCTGTTATCTGATTGTCTTGAGTAGACAGTGGGTGGAGTCCACCTATTTGTGGTTTTATGTGCACGTCTTGATGTTAGAAATGTTTCAAAATCCACAAATGTACAGGTAGAACACCACAAATACACAAATCAGCTGTTTCTTTAGGAATTTCTTCACATCATCTTGGTTTCATCTAACTGCTGAAGCCATGGTCCACAAAGAGCATGCCCAGTATCTCACTGTCAAAAGGTCTCAATCAGGACAGGGATATAAGAATTTTCAAAACAGTAAATGTACCATGGAACACTGTGAAGACATGGTAGGGAGGGATAGTGTATGTGTGTGAGTTTTCTGGGAAGGCTTTCCTATAGTTTTTGAAACATGGCTGTGGGGATTTGTGCTCATTCAGCCGCAACAGCATGAGTCAAGCAACAAAGTAGAGGTGGGTGATCTGACTATTTTCTATCGTGATCGATCTTGAAGATATCCAAATTCTACTTTTCGAGCGAATCGCTGAGATTATGACCTTTTATATCCTCATAATAATGTTAAAACTACAACAGAATGATTGCCTACTAGATGGTTGTGCAGATTGGTCACAGATATGACGTGTCTTTCATGCCTGAAGTATTTGAAAACCAATTCAACATGAGCTAGCAGCATGGTGGATAAATGGCACACTTAAAGTATCTCACAAAAGTGAGTACACCCTTCACATTTATGTAAATATTTGATTATATCTTATGTGACAACACTGCAGAAATGACACTTTGCTACAATGTAAAGTAGTGAGTGTACAGCGTGTATAACAGTGTAAATTTGCTGCCCCCTCAAAATAACACACAGCCATTAATGTTTAAACCACTAACAACAAAAGTGAGTACACCCCTAAGTGAAAATGTCCAAATTGGGTCCAATTAGCCATTTTCTCTCCCTGGTGTCATGTGACTTGTTAGTGTTACAAGGTCTCAGGTGTAAATGGGGAGCAGGTGTGTTAAATTTGGTTTCATCACTCTCTCACTCCCTCATACTGGTCACTGGAAGTTCAACATAGCACCTCATGGCAAAGAACTCTCTGAGGATCTGAAAAAAAGAATTGTTGCTCTTTATATATCTTTATGTATAAGAAGATTGCCAAGACCCTGACACTGTGGTGCAGCACAGTGGCCAAGTCCATACAGCGGTTTAACAGGACAGGTTCCACTCAGAACAGGCCTCGCCATGGTCGAACAAAGAAGTTGAGTGCTCAGCGTTATATCCAGGGGTTGTCTTTGGGAAATAGATGTATGAGTGCTGCCAGCATTGCTGCAGAGGTTGAAGGGTTGGGGGGTCACCCTGTCAGTGCTCAGACCATATGCCGCACACTGCATCACATTGGTCTGCATGGCTGTCGTCCCAGAAGGAAGCCTCTTGTAAAGATGATACACAAGAAAGCCCGCAAACAGTTTGCTGAAGACAAGCAGACTAAGGACATGGATTACTGGAACCATGTCATGTGGTCTAATTTGACCAAGATAAATTTATTGGGTTCAGATGGTGTCAAGCGTGTGTGGCGGCAATCAGGTGAGGAGAACAAAGATAAGTGTGTCTTGCCAGTCAAGCATGGTGGTGGGAGTCTTATGGTCTGGGGCTGCATGAGTGCTGCCAGCACTGGAGAGCTATAGTTCATTAAGGGAACCATGAATGCCATCATGTACTGTGACATACTGAAGCAGAGCATGATCCCCTCCCTTCGGAGACTGGGCTGCAGGGCAGTATTTTAGCATGATAACAACCACTGCCTTGGAAAAGAAGCTGAGGGTGAAGGTGATGGACTGGCCAAGCATGTCTCCAGAACTAAACCCATCTGTTTGGCATCCTCAAACGGAAGGTGGAGGAGCACACGGTCTCTAACATCCACCAGCTCCATGATGTCGTCATGGAGGAGTGGAAGAGACTCCAGTGGCAACCTGTGAAGCTCTGGTGAACTCCATGCCCAAGAGGGTTAAGGCAGTGCTGGAAGATAATGGTAGCCACACAATATATTGACACTTTGGGCCCAATTTGGACATTTTCACTTAGGGGTGTAATCACTTTTATTACCTGTAGTTTAAACATTAATGGTTGTGTGTTAAGTTATTTTGAGAGGACAGCAAATTTACACTGTTACAGTGAGTGGAAAAAAGTTTGATCCCCTGCTGATTTTGTACGTTTGCCCACTGACAAACAAATGATCAGTCTATAATTTTAATGGTAGGTTTATTTTAACAGTGAGAGACAGAATAACAACAAGAAAATCCAGAAAAATGCATGTCAAAAATGTTATAAATTGATTTGCATTTTAATGATGGAAATAAGTATTTGACCCCCTCTCAATCAGACAGATTTCTGGCTCACAGGTGTCTTTTAATTTGGGGGTGTTTTTCTGCTAAGGGGACAGGACAACTTCACCGCATCAAAGGAACGATGGACTGGGCCATGTACCGTCAAATCTTGGGTGAGAACCTCCTTCCCTCAGCCAGGGCATTGAAAATGGGTCGTGGATGGGTATTCCAGCATGACAATGACCCAAAACACACGGCCAAGGCAACAAAGGAGTGGCCTAGCCAGTCTCCAGACCTTAATCGCATAGAAAATCTGTGGAGGGAGATCAAAGGTTCGAGTTGCCAAATGTCAGCCTCGAAACCTTAATGACTTGGAGAAGATCTGCAAAGAGGAGTGGGACAAAATCCCTCTTGAGATGTGTGCAAACCTGGTGGCCATCTACAAGAAACGTCTGACCTCATGTTTTGCAGTGGGGTCAAATACATATTTCCCTCATTTAAATGCAAATCAATTTATAAAATTTTTGACGTGTTTTTCTGGATTTTTTTGTTGTTATTCTGTCTCTGTGTTCAAATAAATCTACCATTAAGATTATAGACTGATCATTTCTTTGTCAGAAGAAACCTAAAAATATGTGTAGTTTCGATCTATATACGTTTGGAAAGTAGACTGTTCAAGGTTTCTGGGCATGTCAGTTTTATGTTTGTAGGACAAAAACTCACGGAGACTTTGATGCGGAAGTGCGAACATTTTATTTTCTCCCATAGGTGGGATAGCCGACTGCTAAGGGTTAACAAAGACGGTAAAGGAAACCATCACCCAGTACTATAGTGAAAAGTACAGTTACCTGACGAGTGATGGACATGGACATCTTCCTGACACGAGGATTAAACTGCACTACATGGACGAAATAAAAGAGAGCATTTTACTGAGCTATTACTGGGCTGGGTGTCTGTACAGAACCTGAG